GTGCCCCTTTAAGGGGTCCGGGGCCGGGAGGGGGGCATAGAGTTTCCCTGGTGTTGGCCAGAGTGGCCACCAGGGAAACCTGGGGAGGGCTAGCCTCCCACTAGTTCGAACTAAAGGGCTACACAGCCCTTAGTTCGAACTAGCTAGTTCGAACTAGGCGTTAGTCCTCGTAAAATGAGGTTTTCCTAGTTCGAACTAAGCGCTCCGCTAGTTCGATTCAAATTCGAACTAGCGGAGCGCTAGTGTAGCGCCTATTAAAGTTAGTTCGAACTAACGTCCGTTAGTTCGAACTAACTTTGTAGTGTAGACATACCCTGGGTTGGGTTGCTTCGGGGAGGGGCCTTTGGGGAAGAGGTGCAGGGGGATGAGTGAGGGCAGAGCAGGGTGGGAAGAGGTGGGAGGGCGGGAGGAGCAACGGGGGAATTGGGGAAGAGTGGCATGAGGGTGCACCAGGCATGGACCGGGGTGGTGTGGATGGAAAGGCGGTTGTACTAGGCCTCACTCCCCTCTAGGGGTGTCTCTGTCCAGTACACATACTTGGGGGAGCCCATTGGCTACCTCCCTCCTCTGTGAGCTCCTGTGAGCCATGGTCCATCTGCCACCTGTCTGTGCCAGAGCTGGGGGCTTTTTAAGAGGACGACTTGAACAGCAGTGATCTTCAGGGCAGGTGGACAGAGATCCTGACGCAACTGAACTCGGGCTTTGCAACTTTCCATATGATCAGCCGATCTCTTTCAGGGATTTTCCTTTAGCTCCGCATTACAGGGAAGCTTGTCTGTGCCTGCTGTGGCTATTACTTCTCATGCACCTGTTCTGTACCCCTCCCCCCCCGCCCTTCTTCGGAGCCCCGCAAATCCCACACAGTCAATTCCCCCATCCAAGCCAGAGCTCTCAAGGGTTCCGCGCCTGGTGCCACACAGTGACACTTCTGCATGGGCAGGCTCTGAAATCAGACGTCATTTCCGTGCAAGCAGGCAGGTGATGGCGCATGGGCACAAACAGCAGGAGGAAAGAGGATGTGGCATGGGGCTTATGCTTTTCATGTGGGAATGCAGGTCAACTTGGCCACGCTGTCTGCTGGGGAAAGGTCCCTTTCCTGTTCTGTCAGGGGGAAAGTCGGCCCCAGGGCCCAGAAAGCGCTGCACGGTGCCATGGCCTTATGGCTTGAGGCTGGGGGGCTGGTCACATCTCACAAGCTGAGCAGGGCTGGTGCCTGGACGAGGGAGAACCGAGGTGCTGATGACTCTAATGGCCTGGCTCTGGCTGAGCTAGTGCGTTCAGGCAAGGCAGCGGCTGGGGGTGGAGGGTTATAAAACCCAAGTTCCTGCCCATCTCTGGGTGATCCCTTGGGCTTCTCCTCCACTGATAGTGAGGTCCTAGTCAGACATCAACCCCCTCGACCCTCCACGAAGTACCGTAATGTCCAGAATAGAAGCGGGAGCACAAAATGATCAGCGCCTTTCTTAAGCAGCCTCAGCCGTGAGTGATGTGCAGTGTGTCGCAGAATGAGCAGCTCTGGCCCAGGCGTGACGGGGCGTGACTTCAGCTAGTTAAGGAATGTCCCACCACGCCCCTCCCATGCAGTTTTGATGCCACCCAGGCGGTAAGCAGATTGATCCTGTAAGAAGGAGACTTCCCCGCTGACAACTGAGTGATGGATGGGGAGACTTGTTCCTTTGGAAGTGGAGTTTTAATTTCTCCTGTGGCTGAAACTCCAGTCCCAACTCAGAGCCCTGGCCTGCGTTATCAGAGAGCTGCCTCCTTTCATGGAGTCATTGCTGCCCTGGGAGCGGACATACCCCTGGGGAGGTGGAAGCCGCTACAGCTGGATGCAGAGGAGTAAGGCAAAGACAGCCGGAGATGCAGCAGGCAGTGTGGAGACAGAGCCAGTTGGCTGCCTTAGTGTCCCAGGAGATGAATGGGTTTTTCTTCACCTTTTTCCTATGGTTGCTTTGGGCTACTCCGGCCCTGCACAGCTGCCCAGGACTGGCCCTGCAACTATCTGGGGCCCTGAGATAGTCCAGGAGGAGGCTGGGACAAGAAGCCTGTGGCTGTAGGACCCTGGATTATGAAGCACAGCCTCACGGAGGGGGACAGCAGTCAGCTGGGGCATGTCAGCCTGCCAGAGGCCCAGGTGGAGCCTGTAAGAGGGGAAAGTGAAGACAGGGGCAGCTGTTTGCTGTGAGTGATGTGGGCAATTGCTGTGGGAGAAGAGCCTGGGGTCTCTTTGGGACACGGACAAGATGGGACCTGCAAAGCTGGTTGGAGAGGGGACCCGATCTGCCCCTGGCAGGCCGCTGGTTAGTCTGGAAGGAGCTGGGTTGGGTTGGGTTGCAGGCTATGGCAGGAGAAGCCAACTTGGCTTTATGTCACTTTCCTGATTTGCTGTGCCAGGCCTCGCGGCGTGGCCAGTGCAGTCTGGCTCTGCTCCCTGCGTGTGTGTCGGGGGGAGGGTGTATGCTCCACAGGGGCTGGGTCAATGGGGGCCTGGCTCAGAGCACCGGTCGTGTTGTGCTGGAAAGGATTTATCTGCAAGGAAGGAGCCTCCTACTGCACCCGCCTGCACTCACCCCCGGCCCCGCTCCAGCCTGTCCTCACTCCCCATCCTACCGTTCGATCCTGCAGGCGGCATTTCTAAGGCAAGAACGTGGCTGTGGCTATAACTGCAGGCTCCATCCCAGACGGAGGCATGTGGGGAGGGGGGCACCCCTCCAGCAGCCCAGGGTGGGAGCCCTCGGGGCTACTGCCTGAAGCCACTGCATGAGGCTGAGTTGGCGCCCGTGTCACAGTGGCTTGGGGCTTGTTTGTGGCATGGGAAGCTAAAGGATTCTTGGCTTTCACAAAGGCAGAGAACAGCTGGCAGGGATCCAGCTCTTGGTCTGAGCCCCGGAAGCCAAAGACCAGCCGGCCCATGGGCTGCCACAGCCCTGCACCCACCAAAGCATCCCTGAAGGGGGGCAGAGCCCCAGGGAAATGCAGCCGGGGGGTGCAAGGGGAGCAAGACACCAACCTCTGTGGTTCCAGGAAGGGCTAGAAACAAGCCTGAGGGTCTGGGCTTGGCTGTGTAAGTGGGAGCCCAGGGCTGGGCTAACAGCCTGCAGGCCGGCTGGAGGCCCAGTGGCAGGGCTGAAGATGGGGAGGTGGAATAGGTCACTTGTACAGAGTTGGTTTTGAAAAGAGAGGCCTTTCGCTGACAAATCCCAAGCGTCGCTCAGCCCGGCGCACCAAGGCCCCGCTGCCCCCGCCCCACGGCTGAGCTCAAGTAGTGCCGGCCCAGGCACCCAGCATCCAGGCGCTGCCTTCATGGCTCCTCGGTGCAGCTTGGAGCCTTTCCAGGTCGACCTCAGGGGGTCCTCCCCCCGCCCAGGATGGGTGGCTGCAACTCAGCGTCTCTGTGGCAGACAAGAATGGCACAACCCGCTGCAGGGGAGGTGGCAGGGCTGGGGATGGCACAGGGGAGCCCGGGGCTGGCAGAGACCATGCTCGGTGCCAGCACAGTCACGCCAGTGTTGTGATGGGTGGCCTGGCCTGGCCAGCGCTCAGCCACGGGCTATGTCCCAGCCAGGCCGAGTGGCTTCCCTGCCTTCCTCGAAGCCAAGGGCACAGGAACCTTTGCTTGAAGGGGGGGAGGTGTTGGTCGCAGAGCTGGGGGGAAGGGGCCATGCACCCACTTTTTTGCATAGGGGTAGGTTGCTGTCCCCTCAAACTGCAAGCCCATTGCCCCCCACTCCTCTCATGATAAAAAGGGGGGCCTGGCCCATTGGCCCCCTGGTTCTGGCACCATTGCTCCCCCGTGCGCAAGCAGCAGGGATGCCTTGAGGGACGATGCCTGTGGGTGCCGGGGGTAGAGCCCAACACTCACCTGTGAAGACTCGTTGCTCCCCTGGGGCTCAGTCCAGCACCGCTCCCAGCCTGAGGGGATGTCCTGATCTCACAGTGATGGGTGCCAGGCGCCTGGCTAAGTCCTTGCCCGGCGTACGCTGAGCAGCAGCCCAGCCCAGTGACAAGCAGCCCCCATGCCCCTGGGGTGGGGGAGGCTGCAGGACCTCCAGGCAGCAGGCTCGGGGGCAGTTACAAACCGGCAATGGTGGCTCCGGATCTGAGCTGGCCCCACTCGCTCCTGCAGCGTAATCGGGCGCCCCCAGCTCTCTGGGCTGGGCGGCTGCTCCCCGAGTGCAGGGTGATGCGACTGGGTGGAGGGGGATCGATGGGGCTGCCTGTGTTCACTTCCCCCAGGGATCCATGCTGCTCCTGGCCTGGCTTGAGGGGAGCCAGGGACGTGAGGGCCGGGCAGAGGGTGCTGCAGAGAGGTCTGTGGTGTGGGGGTGGAGTAGCGGGGCACTGGGGGAAGAGGGTGGGGAAGGGGTCAGTGGGGGATGGGCAAGGGGGTCTTGGGAGCACCATGGTGCAGGGAGGGCAAGGGCTGGTACGGGGTGGGGGGCATGGAAGGGTCTATGGAGTGTTTAGAGGGAGGAGGCACATGGTGGGGTAATTCAGAGGGGGGCAGGGTCTGTGGTACAAGGGAGTGCACCAGGGCAGGCGCTGCCTAGCGCTGTGCTTTACTTGGGGTCAGCCCCCGGGGCTCCATCGGACACTGCAGCAGCAGCCTGGCTGGATTTCACCCTGCCAGCCCTCGGGGAGAGGCCCACGGGCTGGTCGGCCTGCTGCCCTCTGCCCGCGGGGAGGGGGGACCTGCCAACTAGCAATGAGCCTGGGCTGGGCCCAGGCCCCCTCTCTCCTGAGCCAGGGCAGCTAACAGCAGCAGCAACTGGTGCAAGTGAAAAGCGGCATGTCCTGGGGTGGGCACAGCCGAGGCCAGGAACCAGGCTGACACAGACGTGGAGGAAAGTGGCTTGATGCCAAGTGCGTGCCCAGGTCAGGAGCAGGGCGCTGTGCAGGGCCAGGAGGGGATGGCAGGCCACAGAGGGGGCCTCCTTCGGCTGGCACTGGCACCCTCTCCCCTCCTGGCACGGTCTGTCACTCACAGGGAGGGGGGAAAGTCTGGGCAATTCTCTTTATTCCATTACAAATTCCTCTGACTTCCACCCGTCCCCCGCGAGGAGCCCTCAGGGGCTCCCTGCGCTCGGGTGCTAGCGCACGTCTCCTCGGCCTGGCCCTGGGTCCAGCAGGGCCAAGCAGCCTGGGGCATATGCTGGCTCTAGAGTAGGGGCTGAGCCTGGGCTCCCCTCGGCCCCACAGCTGCCCAGCTGTGTGCAGTACAAAGGTCTGGCCTGGCCTAACTGCACCTGGCAGGCACAAGCTTCCTGCATCACTGGCCCAACGATAGTCTGGCAGACTGGCCACTGCCGGGGGCTGCTGATTCCTGGCCCGGTGTGCGTGTGGGCCGGGGCGCTGGCTGCCTGCAGGCCAGCACCAATGATCCCATGGGGGGGTGTGGCAGCCACCCAGCCGGGGCGCATCCTCTTACAGCAGCGTGGCCTGCTCAAAGCGCTCGTCATAGCCGCGGCTGCTCAACCGCTGCCTGCGCTGCTGGAGAACTTCTCTGCGGCGCCGGTAGGCCAGGAACTCCTCCTTCAGGACTGCGCAGCGAGCCTCCGGGCTGGCCAGGGCCCGAGGTGAGCCCGGCGCCTCCAGGTCATCCACCGATTTCGAGTTCCTCGGGGAGCCACTGCCATCACTGGGAGCTTTGGCACCTGCAAGCCAGCAAAGGAGATGGCTCAGGGAGGGCAGGGCAGGCCCGACTCCCACCCTGTGTCCCCAGAGGGCTGCCCCAGGAACAACTTTCAGCTGGGACTGACTCACACGGTCCTGCCCCCGGGGGTTCCCTGCTGGGACTGGCTCTCATGGACCTGCACACTGGCTCAGTATGGCTCAGACAGGCCAGTCCATGGCAGGGAACTCCGGGCTGGGACCAGCCCAGCCAGCTCACACAGACCCACCCATGGCTGAGGGGTCTTGGCTGGGACTGGATCTGCCTGACCTACATGGGGGCTTATGGTTAGGAGCACCCCAGCATGGCTCATCCATGGATTAGGCCTCTGGAGGTGGAATTGGTGCCCACCGCCCTGACTTGGTGCCAGCTTAGGGCTGGAGCGTCCCCAGACAACAGCCCCATGGGTTGAGGGGCTCTGACTGCAAGGGGGGAAAAGGTGAGGAACTAGACTGGGCCTGGTGGCTTCCTGTGTGTGGGTGGGAATACAGCAGTGTGTGCCCAGCTGCCTCACGGCTTGGACGTGTAGCAGGGACAAAGGAGGCTTGGTCTGAACCCAGCCCTGTGTTAAAGTGGGAATTTTTATGTATGTCTAGTGTATGTGCCTCAGTTTCCCCTAGGTGGTGCGTGGCTAACTAGCTGGTAGGACAAAGTTGTTCACCTGACAGGCCCCTACTTACTTGGCAGAGATCCGGTGTGACTGATGCCTGGCTGTGTGGGGCTGGGGCCCCATGCCCATGGAGAATCTGGACATTGGTACCTAGCAACTAAGGCCCACCGATGACCCACCCTTCACAGGAAGCCAGCCGGGAGCGACCAGCTGGAGAACAAAGGGCCTGATGGGGTGGGTAAGTGAGGGCTGCTGGCAGCAGGAGACGCTCCAAACCTGGGACTAAAAGGGGTCAGAGGTCTCTGTGCTCTGGGCAGGCCAAGATGGACCCTGCGGTAACTTTCTGTTCTCTGGGGTAACCATGGACTGGCCACGTGGTGTTCCTGGATCTCATGACCCTGCTGCCTGCCGTGCCCGCTGGGAGTCACGGCCCACATGCAAGGGGGGGAAGGGAGTTCAGTTTCTCTCCAGTGCCCAGTGCAGCAGGTTTTGCTGAAGGAGCTGGCAGTGCGACACGGGGTGCTGAAGGCTCCAAGGTTCGGTCCCAGGAGCAGGGAAGCCAAGCGCCATCCCCCAGCGAGAGCGTGACCCAAAGGGGCTGACACACTGAAGGGGTCTCCAGGACTACTCCAGAGCTGCTCCAGAGCAGCAAGCGCCGATCCCCGTGGCCTAGAGGCAGTCAGGAGTTTCCAATGTCAGGCAGCCCCTGTGAGTTGTGCGATCAGCTGCTCGGGCTAGGCCAATGGGATGCTGGGCAAGACATCTTGGTTTCGCTGCATGGCTCATTCAGGAATACGGAGGGTGGGAAGGGGTTGGTGTTAATCCCTGAGAGACATCAGAGTCCCTGGGACCCCAAAGAACACTACAGACTCTACTTGCCTCCCATGCTTAGATGCAGCCACCTCTGGGGTAGGACGTGGCAGCTGTTTATACTCACACTCTTATGCCCCTGCACAAAGTGCAGGGCTGGGAGTTAGCGAGGCCCACAGGCACCTGGAAGAACAGAGAGGGGGCCGGGGGCTGGGACTCGGGCAGTCCAGCCGCAGGCAGGAGCCCCCTGCAGCCTGAGGCTCTGCTCACTCACTCTGCCGCTCCAGCTCCTGCACAGCGATGGTGGAGACGGGTCTCCTGGGGTCCCCGCTGCGGTACAGCTGCAGCGCCTCTAGGATGTCTGACTCCAGCGCAAACTCCGAGTCCCACTCGTAATTCTCATCCACAGACGTGTTCCTCCTGCCGGGCAGAGGGAAAGCGGGCGTGAGCAGCGGGGACACTGCTGTGCGACAATGCCCACTGAGGGGGAGGGGTAAGAGGGGAAGCAGGGGGGCTGGTTGCCCCGAGTCCAGCAGGCCGGGGCTACACAGCTCAGAGCGGGAGCGAGGTTCCGCTGCCCCGTCCATCGCAGACCCAGGGCACGGCTTGGGCCAGGGAACACCGAATGAGCAGGCCCAGGAAGTGCCGCTGGCTGCTAGGCTTAACCTGGGCTCTGTGATGTAGCCCTGCCTTCTCCCTCCCACCCAGCTCACGGGACAGACTCACTGCCTGGCCACTCAGGTTCCCAGACCCGTGAGTGAGTGCCCCCCCTCCCCTCTCTTCCCTGGGGGTGCACATGCTGCCACCCACGGGCCACCCACACTGTTCCACTGCACTGCAAACCCCAGGGCTTCCGGGGGAGCCTGAGTCCATAACGCTCGACATCTGGCAGCACTGAGCACCCAGACAGAGTCCAGGGACGGCTACCTCAGAAACCTGGACAGGTGGCAGCCATCACTACAGCGCACAGAGGGACCAAGCCGAGCCGGGCACAGCGCCTCCCCCCCACAGACCCCTAAGGGAGTGAGCTGAGCTGAGCCAGGCCAGACCAGTCCCCCCCCAGAGCTCTATGGAGCAAGCCGAACTGGGCACAGTCCCTCCCCCTCACAGAGCCCTGGGGGAGTAGGCCAGGCCCGAGGTGGTGTGGCCCCAGGTGTGTGTGATGAGCCAGGTGCTGGGTTTCTCCCCCCCTGCCTCCTGGGGGAGCAAGCCAGCATGCCCCCGCCCCAGGCACTGGGAGAGGGGAGTTGGCTGAGCCAGGTGCAGTGCACCCCCCCCCCCATGGCCTCTCTCATGCAGAGGGTGCAAGAGGCTGCCCCGAAGGGCTGGAGACTTGTGCCTAGCAGCCCCCATTCCCAAAGGAGGCAGCCCGGGGTGAGCAGACAGCAGCAGGTGGCTGCGGCGAGGGGGATGCTCAGGAACCAGAAGCCCGAGGAGCTGGCTTGAGGACACAGCGGCAGGGAGCCAATCCGGCTGCTGCACAGACACTGCCTTGGGCCCCGCTCTGGGAACCCCCCAGCAATGGGAGAGGCCCACTGGATGGGGTCAGGGCCGGGGGGGCCGGGACACAGCTGAGCGCTGAGTAACGTGGTGCCCAGGTGGGGGCTGTTTTAATTCCCCGTGGCCTGTGTTGGGTTTGAGGAGGGCTGGGCCAGGGGAAAGCTGAGGCAGGAGGTGAAGAGCCACCTCTGGCCACAAGGGGGCGCGTGGGCAGTGGCTGACCCTGTCACACAGCAGGGCCCCTAGCTGGTGCAGCCTTGAGTGCCCGGGGCCAGACCCAACCCGCTCGCCTGCAACGGCAGCACAAGACAGGAGCCCAGTGGGTGGGGGGAGCTCTGCTGACCATCAGAGCCAGGGGCCCCAGAGCTCAGCGCATCCCGGAACCCCACTGCCCTCCAGCTGGCTGGGCAGAGTCTGCCAGGGGACCTGAGCGGGGTGCAGGGCCCTGCTTCATTTGCTGAGGGGCTTCCCCCGACGCCCCCAGGGCAGCAGGCTGCTTGGATTGCACCAGCCCCGGGGCCTGGGCATGTGGAGGAGCCCCAGAACTCCCTTGCGCCTGCTCCCCTGGCCAGCACATCTCCCATGCTGAGGGCCATGCCCTGTCATGAGAACTGCAGCACCACTTGGATGGCCTGAGAGGTGGTTTCAGAAGCTCTGGGGGCTCTGGTAGGGGGAGGGGAACAGCCCCTCCTTTCCCTGTGCTTGGACCAGGACAGAGGGGCCTGGGGATTTCAGGGGATGGACATTTGCATTCCTTAGTTCCCTCCCAGCGATCCCTGACACTCACAGCGGTGCCCAGCCTAACTGGGGGCTGCGGCGAATGCAATTCGCCGGTGTTAGGGTTCAGAGTGAACACCCCCTTGAGGTAGCTCTCAGCTATGGGTGCAGGCTGCCTGCCAAGGAGCAGTGCCCGTTACACCTCATGACCAGATTAGGGATGTAAAACCCTGTTCAAGCAGTTGACTGGTTAAAGGTTATGTTGAACCAGTTAATCACTTAAGTGAGTGTGGGCAGGGCCACTGGTTAAACCAGGTAACCAGTAAGCATCACCTCATAACTGGTTAACCATTGACATCCCTAGACCAGCCTGAGGGCTCCTGGTGACCCCAGGCCTCACTGGCTGGTTGCACTGGAGGTAAGTAAGAGATCCGTGGGGTGAGGCAATCTTTCATTGGACCAACTTCCGTGGGTGCAAGAGATAAGCCTTTAGGCTACCCAGGGCTGAGAAAGGTCCCCGAGCATCACACAAACCATAAGGGGGACCAGAGGTCCCTCCTGCTCAGAAGGAGTGGAAGGCGGGGAGGAATGGGGCTGGGGAGGGACCAGTTCTTAGTGGGTAACAAATCACTGTAATAAGCCATAAATCCAGTATCTGTCCAGTCCAGGATTTTTAGTATCTAGGGAAGACTGCCCCAGGGTAGGTGTCCGGGAATGTCACAGCCTTTGAGCTTCCTTAAACCAGCCACCTGCACTGTCCGCTGCTCCCTGCTGAGGTCTAGCAGGCTCCCATCCCCTAGAACAAGCCCAGGGCAGCATGGATCTCCCTCCCATGGGGGACAAACAGCCCAGCAGTTGGACGTGGGCTCCTGGGAACACCAGAAAGGACAGAATCGCTCACAAGAGGGGAGAGGCCAGCGGTAGCTTTGAGCTTCCTTAAACCAGCCACCTGCACTGTCCGCTGCTCCCTGCTGAGGTCTAGCAGGCTCCCATCCCCTAGAACAAGCCCAGGGCAGCATGGATCTCCCTCCCATGGGGGACAAACAGCCCAGCAGTTGGACGTGGGCTCCTGGGAACACCAGAAAGGACAGAATCGCTCACAAGAGGGGAGAGGCCAGCGGTAGCTCTGCCCATAGCAGCTTAGGCCTGTCTCCAGCCAGCCGCTGCATTGGGCAGGGCTGGGGCCTGGCCAGGGGCCATGCTGGGCACTTTACTGTCCCCAATTCCATTACTCAGTTAGGGTATGTCTACACTACCCTCCTAGTTCGAACTAGCGGGGTAATGTAGGCATACCGCACTTGCAAATGAAGCCGGGATTTGAATTTCCCGGGCTTCATTTGCATAAGCGGGGCGCCGCCATTTTCAAAACCCCGCTCGTTCGAACCCCGTGCAGCGCGGCTACACGGGGCACGAACTAGGTAGTTCGAAACTAGTTCCTAGTTTCATTTCACGAGGAGTAATGGTAGTTCGGAATAGGAAGCCTAGTTCGAACTACCTAGTTCGTGCCCCGTGTAGCCGCGCTGCACGGGGTTCGAACGAGCGGGGTTTTGAAAATGGCGGCGCCCCGCTTATGCAAATGAAGCCCGGGAAATTCAAATCCCGGGCTTCATTTGCAAGTGCGGTATGCCTACATTACCCTCCTAGTTCGAACTAGCGGGGTAGTGTAGACATACCCTTAGAGACAGAGAAGGGCCTTTCATCCCTCGTTCGCTCCAGGAGCCAGGGACGGGTGTTCGAGGCTTCTGTGTCTGATAGCAGCTGGTTTCCAGGCTGGTAATGCCAGATTTGGGGTGCCCTTGTGTAACTCCCACTGGGGTTATCAGCTGCCTGTCAGAACTAGGAATAGAGCCCAGGAGTCCTGGGGTTTTCTTCCACTCTCCCCACCCCAACCCAGGCAGCTCACCTCTTGCTGACGGTAGCGATGGCCAGCTCCTTCCTCGGCCTGCCCTCCTCTGTCACAGAGCTCCGGGACTCGCCTCCACTCGGCCAGCCGCCTATTTCCCCTAGCGGGGAGCTGAGGTAGGTGCCCACCAGTGACAGCGCCAGCGAGGGGGGCCTCAGGAAGGACACGCTGCCCCGGCCGCTGCTGTTGCTGGTCAGACTGGCTCGCAGCAGCTTTTCAGCAGGTGGCCCCGGCAAGCAGAAGATGCCTGGGGCTTGGTACTTCTCGGGCACCTGAGCTTCCAGCAGCTCTCCAGGTAGCGGCTGCTCCTGCAGGCTCCGGGCCCAGCTGGGCTCTGAGGAGATGGCTGTGCACATCAGCTCGGTCCTGCTGCTGTCTGTGGCCAGGAGCGGGGTGGAGCCGGGGCTCAGGGAGCCTGGCCAGCCCGTGCTCCCAGGTAGGGCGGCCTTGGCAGGGCCCAACTGTGGCTCTGGCGGTTTCAGGAGAGTCTTGCTGGGTGCCTGTTCCAGAGGAGACTCGGGGGTGGCCCGTGTGTCCATGTAGTCCAGGCAGGCTGCCCCCTCCCTGCTCTGCTCTCTCTCCTCCCCCAGCAGGGTGGGCTCCGTGCTGCCCAGGGCTGGGGGCTGGCAGGGCTCCTCCTGGGGTGGCCAGTCTCCATCCACGCTCATCTCCTTGAAGAAAGGCAGGCTCAGGGACTGGACTGTTCCAGAGGAGACTCGGGGGTGGCCCGTGTGTCCATGTAGTCCAGGCAGGCTGCCCCCTCCCTGCTCTGCTCTCTCTCCTCCCCCAGCAGGGTGGGCTCCGTGCTGCCCAGGGCTGGGGGCTGGCAGGGCTCCTCCTGGGGTGGCCAGTCTCCATCCACGCTCATCTCCTTGAAGAAAGGCAGGCTCAGGGACTGGAGGATCCCACTCTGGGCCGAGGAGCTCGGGGACCCGGAGCCCAGTGGCTCGGGGCTGGCCAGAGCCGGGGCGGGCAGCAGCCTGCTGAGCACAGGGGAGCCCCCGGGGCCCGGGGAGCAGCGCAGCACGCTGACGGTGCTCTGGCAGTGCCCCTCGCCCCCCGGGCCGCCCTGCACCTCCTCCACGGCGCTCAAGGGCAGAGGCACCGGGGAGGCCACGGGGCTGATGTTGACAATGCACAAAGGCTTGGCTTCCTCCGTGGGGCTGCTGCTGCTGTAGCCGAAGTAGCGGCCATGGCGGAGCCCCCTGGGTTCGGGTTTCCGGG